ATACTTGTGACTAGGTCCTCTCAGTGTGACATTTTGTGACTAGTTCCTGGTCTCTATGGGCAATACTTGTGACTAGTTCCTTGAAGTGTGACATACTTGTGACCAGTTCCTCTCAGTATGATATTCTTGTGACCAGTTCCTCTCAGTGTGATATACTTGTGACAAGTTCCTCTCAGTGTGACATACTTGTGACTAGGTCCTCTCAGTGTGATATACTTATGACAAGTTCCTCTCAGTGTGATATTTTTGTGACCAGTTCCTCTCAGTGTGACATACTTGTGACCAGTTCCTCTCAGTGTGATATTTTTGTGACCAGTTCCTCTCAGTGTGACATACTTGTGACTAGGTCCTCTCAGTGTGACATTTTGTGACTAGTTCCTGGTCTCTATGGGCAATACTTGTGACTAAATTATCTCTCAATGGGACATACTAGAAATATATATGTTACCAGTTGCTTTACACTGAACATACTTTGGACTTGTTTCTCTCGAAGGACACATACTATTACATGAACTTAAAGGAGTTATATAATAACTTTCACTTTAAATATCCTCACTGATAATCGCAACATCTGATTACTTTTATAGGTCTTCTAATGCTTACAAATGTTATTCTACTTTTGTATCAGTTAAGTTACAAACTTCATGCACATTGCAGTATAACTAAAATTAATTGAAAACGTGATGATGCATACCGTATGATCAACTTATAGCTTTCAATACAAGCTTTCATACAATCTTTGAATGTCAACTTGAATGCTAGAAGGTGTATATAAAAGAATTACATAACTATAACATAAATCCAACAGGTAAAACTTTGTAGATATATTGATAGAATCTGTTACCTTTATGTATTCCTGATTAAAATATATCTTTGATGCTGGCTGATATACTTGATGAGTAATGAAAGAAAACCGATTTCGAGGCAAAGCTGGGAATAAGATGTTACAGAAATACCAAACAGGCACTGTAATAAATCAATATTGATCATAAATATGTGCCAGATTTAGTTTGTTGTACATGATTGTGTCAAAACTGAATAAATATACATCAAGTATTTTCATTGCCAAAGTCATCAGTTGGATTAAATTACCTCCCTTTTTGGCATTTTCAAAGTAAAAAAGTGAAAAATGTATTTTAATTGATTCATTCCACACCTTTTGTTGACAGAGGAATGCTGTAACACCTAGAGGCTTCTTTATGAGCCTCATTTATAAATCTTCAAAGTGTTGCTTTAAGGTTTTAACTTGTTTGACCTGTACATTCTAGTTAACTACAGAACTCTAGACTAATAATTACATTAACTTGAATACTGAGGTATTATAATTCTTTCTATTGTTTTTTCTTTACAGCTTTCTGTTTATTATCACAATCTAACCTGATGAACATCACAATTTTTGCTATATATAGTCAGACACAATATTGGTGAGATACTGTAATATACTATAATACAGCAATGGTGCCAACTGAAGTAAAACAAAAATGTGATGAGATACGAAAACATAAATATACAAACAGATGTTTTAATTTTAATGAGAAGTACAATTTATTATGAAGTGCTGACATTATATCAGAGATAAAGCAGATCTAAAAAAACAAACATGTAACAACTGATATGATAGAGGCTGTGGGCTACCCTATCACAATAAAATATTTTATCATCTTCCGGGTATCAGCAGATAACATTTAACCTCTCACTTGCCTTCATATGAAATTTTTTATGAATCAGAATATCTGACAGCATTGTTAGTAAAGAAAATCACATGTACTTCCTTTTCCAGAATTATTTATTCTGTTTACAATATTCCAAGTAATGGTTGTTAATAATTTACTAAAGTAAACATTTTGTTTTCATCAAAATGAGGACAGACAAACTTACCATTTTATGAAATGTGCTTCCTGTTACTCTGCTGGCAAATTTCATACATAAAGTTTTGGGAAATATCACAAAATGCTGGTTTACCAATTCGGTCTTGAAATCAATTCGGCTAAATTATCTCATCTCATATTGTGTGTCATGGTGATATTACAACATTCACAAAAGGTTGTTTTTATCGATGGTTCAATTGTGTTATACTTATATAATGTCTGAAATAAATCAAAGACACTCAACACCTATGGAACAGCTTTTTAATTACTAGATATTGACATGTTTTGACTACTGGATGGTTATCATCAGGACCAGATTATCAGATACAAATCTCCGTTGAAGAGAGGTTGAGTGTCTTTTTCTTTTGTGTTTTTCCTGTAAGGATCTCTATTGAATCCCTTGTAGATCCACTTACTGGAATTTTCACAGAATTTTAATGACAAAATGAATCAATTAAGTATCAATTATGATATCAGTGGACTATCACTTTATGTTTAGCATGGTTTTTTCCCCTGATACACTGATTTACTCTAACAATAAGACCCCTTGCCCGCTTACATCAGGGCCAACAGATTCAGATTCTTTATTTGCCGTGAGTCATACGACTCATAGGCACAAAAGGAATACAAATACATAAACATATGTAATACAATACATATATAAGTACTTCCACTCATTTACACTTACACTCGCACACACCCACACACCCACCCAATTCTGACCTCACAACTGAATGGTCTTATTAAAAAAATGAATGGTTTGTAAAGTAGGTAAAATGTACATATCAGATCATATGCATAACTTTCTTTATTATCACATGAACACGCCTTCCCACTTAAGAAATGTTACATTCATTATGTTTATTTAAAGGACTTACTTAATTTATTATGACACTTCAGCTTTTTAGCAGTTTTTCTGCTTCTTGGCAAATGATTAGAATATTGTGATATAACAACATATGGAATACATTAGGATCCAATATTGTTTAAACAGCAATATGATTTATGGAACTCCAAACACAGTCATACTACTTTGTAGAATTACACAGAACCTGAGTTTGATGACATAATAAAACAATAGAGCTCTACCTATACAAATGTACACTAACACTCCTCCAGGCTACGATGCTCTTCAGAAAATGTATACAAACATCATACTCCAATGCATTACTGGCTATTTAACTATTTACTCTGTATTTACATGGCAATAAGACCACGCCTGGTAATTAAGTCTACTCATTGTATTTGCTGTTCAATAGAATTTTCAATAAGCACCTCTGAGTTCATTGGTCTGAAATAAGCCCCACCTCCGATTTTGATCGGAGTCCTAGGCAAGAATGTGCTGGCCCCCTGGGCTTATTGTAGAATATTACAGTAAGTTTAGTTTTTATGTATACATCTATAACAGGATTTCTGCCTTTTGGTCATCCAGTTATATGAAGACTGTGAATGTAAAATAAAATGTATTTACTGGACAAGGTAAATTTTCTGACATCAGGTCAAGTGTCTAAGGCTACCACCTGCATCTGTTCTGTGTAAGCTGAGACATCTCATTATCTACATAGTATGTACATTCTGTCAGCAGACCAGAGCCAACTCCCACCCCTTCAGGCCTGCACTCACCTGACACAGGTGTGTAGTTGCAAGTTTCTGTTGTCACAGTCAGTTCTAATATGATGGCAGATTAAGTTATGACCTCAAATAGTCAGTACAGGAAGGAGAAACGTTGGTCTATATTGTTGGTTTAAAGTTTACTAAGTAATTGATTTTAATGTTAAGAGTATACGTGCGCAAATATGTAAAAAATACTTTGTATAATATGAAATATATTGGTAGAAGGATGTTCAATGTTACAATAGCTTAAAATAAGTTGTATTACTTTGTTAAGACTCATTTTTCTTAAATAACTGTGACTCACTAAGTTCAAAGTTTAACACCTGATTGATTAATAATATATCGGTGAAGATGACACATTATCATTGCTCCTTCATTGATAACATAAGAATTCTGCACCTCTTGAGAAATGGGTGAAAGGGTGTTTAACTTTTCATCTCTGTGGGAATTGTTATTTATTAACATGATTTTGTGATACACACAGTTATTTAGAAAGTGCATATAAAGGAGGGTAATCTATGCTACAATATATATAAAGAAATGATCCTTATTCTGATCTGAAGCAATGAAAAACCTGGCGATAATGCAAGTATATACATTTTAATTTTTTGGCAAATCATGGTATAATAGCTAGTGAGGATGCAACTGTGTGGGTGAATTCTACCATAGCAAGCTGAACAGCATTTACAAAGTTGATGGATTCACTGAGAAGTCAGCTAACTTATCATCTAATAGTTTGAACAGATTGACATAAGCTAAACCGACTAGCCTGGTTTTAGGCATTGAGGACACAATATCTGTTCACATCAAATAAGGTACATGAACCAAGGACACCTTGGTGAAAAGCACATGCATATAATGACTCATCAGGTTAATCCTGCAAAAATGTGACCTTGTGAGGTTACTCCTACAGATGCAACCTTGCAAGGTCATAGTCCTACAAATGTTACCATTAGTAAATTTGTAAGGTTGTAGCCCTAAAAATATGACCTTGTAAGGTCATAGTACTACAAATGTTACCATTTGAATTTATTGCTACAGGAAAAGTAACCTTGTAAGGTTACTACTACATATATGCAACCTCGCAAGGTTATATTTCTAAAAATGTGACCTGGTAAGTTTATAATCCTAAAAAAATATTACCTTATAAGGTTAGTACTACAGATGTGCTCTTACTAGTTTAGTAAATTTGTAAGGTTGTAGCCCTAAACATTTGACCTTGTAAGGTCATAGTCCTACAAAAATATAACCTTAAAAGATTAGTCCTACAAATGTAGCATTGTAAAGTTCAATTCCTAACAATGTGATCTTGTAATATTTATGTTAGTCCTACAGATGTGACATTTGGTGGTTAGTCCTTCAAAAGTGATCATGTATTGTATAAAAGGTTAGTCCCACAGATGTGACATTGTGAAATTTAAATCCTACAAATGAGACCAAATTAAGAAAATGCTACAAATTCACTTACCAAGTTTTATCTTAAAAAAATATAGAATTAGGAAGTTAATTTGTACTGACCTACTTCTTCTGTTCCTCCTCTACATGTTGACCTTGAAATGCCACCAATTTTGAGCAGTGACTCTGAATATGCTCTGGCTGATGCAGTTAAACCTACAAACAGAAAATATTGAAATTGAACCTACTTGATCTAACAGAAATGGTTAGTGAAATCATCTTAAAGCAAGCAACAGATCTTAACAACTTGATTTTTTTTTAAATATGCATTTCACCGATATTCTTGGAAAATAAATAATGGTAGTTTGCTGAAATTATGGGTGGGTGAGTGACCTAATATTTTCATGCTTTATGGATTTTAAAGCAATATCGAATTAAAATGATTTTGAAACTTCACATAACCTTATTAACTGAACAAGGATAATTTGTAGGTACTTCAAGCATTTTAAAATGAAGGAATTGAATAAAAAGATAAAAACTAAAGCCAAATAATAGTACATCTTCTTTTTCTTTTTTTCAATTCTCAACTGAAGACCATAGCTTGTGTATATCATCTATAATTATATATCACTCATATACCATTTGAACAGAAAATACACTGTTGCAAATATTCGAGAGGAAATGATACATCAGTAATTAAATATAAGCATCTTTTCTGAATGACAACAATGACTGATAACATATTAGAGTAATGAGAGTAAAAAGTAAATTTCTTTAAAATTTATTCTATAAAAAGGTTAACATTAGTGTAACCTTTCATTTCTTTATCTAATATTACATAAACAATAAAACATTTTCACATTGTCTCTGGACTTCTAAGGCATACAAGATTAGGCTCTCAGTGTGTTACTCTAGGCCAGTTCTCAGGTGTTGCAGTAAAGAACTGAAGCTATATGTCAGATTTGATTGGTTGGTGAAAGATCAAGACAGGTCATGTGTGACAAACAGTAGCCAGGCTTCTGAGAATGACAGGTTACCTTGAAGGGCTTTGTGGTAGGCTTTCCCACATAACAAGACCTGTTTTATCCCTGGGTTAAAGTTCTCTGTCAGGCCCTGAAAAATAGCACCACAGCCATATAAATATTATGACCAAATCTACAAAACAGTCATGCAGACAGAGAAAGCAGAAATTATCTTGGCTAGTAGTTTCTTTGAGATTAACCCTTATTACAAAAACTGCAAAAAGGCATTAAGGAAACACAGATTTTCTAATATAGTGATTATTGTATAAAAAAAGATCACTGATGCGGATATTTCAAAGGTTAAGAAGTATACAAAGACAACCAAAAATCTGCAAATATTTAAATCGTTGTACATATTCTCCCTTATATATTGAAATATGAGGAAGCAGAGATGAATAGATTAAAACCCTTCACTGTTAGCTTTAACTTCTGCCATCTGGTTTGACAGTTATTTCTGAATCTTTACCTTCAAATTAACATTGAGCAATATATGCTTCCTTTCCACACAATGCAATATGGTTTATTAACTTAACAGAGGATAATTAAATTTCAAAATCATTTAAATTTCGGATTTTAACATTTGAACACTTATTTTGACCTGAAATATTATAAATCTAATAAGTGACATAAAGAGTGGGTAACAGTCCACATTGAATTATACACAAGTCCTTGACAAACATGTCCTTTATGAATATTCTAAACACATAAAGGTGGCTCTAAGAGATTTACGTAGTGTCATGTATGTACCTCACAATTTAATTAACTAAACAATTCCACTTGTCAGCACTGGCAAATCATAATGTCAACAAATGATTTTTCCAAAGACTCACCTTCAACAGTGAAAGATGACATATATATATATATATATATATATAATTATATATATCAATGGGTGTTAAACGACTATGTAAAGATCAACAGTCAAGTTAATTGATTTATATTGTAGATAATAATCTATTTTATATTGACAAGAAATTACCATCAGATACCTTATCATTATTTTTCACATGTCATCATAACTATATTAGGTTTATAAAACTTTTACACTTTTTTTATATACGCATACAATAAATAATCAATCTGCCCTTCCAACATTTTACATATTAATGTTCAAAGCATTGATTTCATAGCCTCAATATTCACATTGATGTTCAACTATAAAAGGTAATTGTAAAATCTTCAGGAAAAAAAAATTGTGACATTTAAGTCACTTCTAATATCATGAAAATTATATTGAAATAGCAGGTATTCATTACACAGCCTTCTACAAAACTCTAGAAATGTAAGCCTGCAGAAAGAGCTTCAGGTTTCATTGTTTTCTTACTGAAATAGCTGTCCTTGCCTGTATAAACTGGAAAAGTATAGTAACCATTTGTTAGACATTGGTAAGGTTTTAAAGATTTTGCCTTAAATTAAAGGAGGCAGACTTTTTCAGCTGGAAAACAGGGTAAAAATATTATTGGTTTCTACAAGTTAATGACTGTGAATCATTCGTTCATATTCTTTCTCTGACAAACCTATAGTAGTGTGTTAATAATTTTCCATTCCTTTTCTCTGAGACATTAACAACACATCAGGAAAAAAAATCCCTCTTAGTTATATACTATAGCCAAATACATGTACAAGTCTAAAAAACAGTGAATTCCCACCACATCAATTTGATACAAAATTCTCAACCAAAAGTCTATGTGTATTAAAGTGACTAGAATACATATAAATGAACTCTGGGTTGGGAATTCCTGCCAAGTCCCAGTGATTCCCACCACTAAATGTACAGGTAAATGTCCCCTGCCATCGTAAGGTAAACTTTTCACCATTAGAGCAAGATAAATGCTATTTAGAAATTATAAATGGGTTTACTAGTATGGCACTATGATACAGTTTGCTGTATTCAAAAACCTGAAAGAGTAGTTGTAAGTGATTACTTTTCAAAGAGAAGAGGCAATTCAAAATAACTCGTGTATCATACATAACATCGCGCGAATGTAAATGTATTTCACTTATGTCAATATTAATCTAATTCACACCATCTTCATTTTTCAAAATCAATTAATATCACAATACGTATGGTACCAACAGTCTAAGACTCACGTAGCGTGACTTCAGCTACAAGTCAGAAATAACTATTAATAGGGATTTATTACAAGTGATTAGTCTAACGGCGGAGTAATGAAGCATCAACTTGCTGTAGAGCTACAGCTTCTGAAGGCGACCTTCACATTGATGTGATGGAAGGCGGTTGACCAGTCTTATATATCTGTTATAAGGTGTGCGAGTATACACCATTCAACGTATGTGCTGATAATGCTGTTCAGAATATACAGGTACACAACTTTACACATTAAACATGTATATATTTCTTATCGATCTATAGAACCTTTAGGAACACCTAGTGAATGTTCAACAGGTGTGGCCAGCCAATCTCAGCAATCCTTTACTGTACATGCAATGATCAAATTGTCCGTTAATTTTTCTCTTACCCTATATACTGCCTCGGTATGCTGATGTACGTCCTCAGAATTCTTCATATTTATCCGACAAAAAGTCACAAGTATCAGCGTTACATCCCAACGTACAGACGACAACTAATACCTGCAGCAGACGTGCGCTTGTGTATATTGTTACCGTTATGTGGTCAAAGGTTAAAGGTTAATCTGCGATGTTATCTGAAGCAGACGACACCTGGCGCGATATACATGTTTACCTGGAAACCTAATACACGTTGGTCCAGTGTCACATTGTCATAACATAGCGTTGAAAACGAAATGCTGACAATCAAAGTGAAATTATCTGTCTCCCTCATTCCGTTTATTCTTAAATGATTTGTTTCAGCTTTAGTATAGTTCATATTTTGAAATGGTTTGAAATTGGGACAAATACATGTGAATTGCAGAAAAGTAAAGAAATTATAACAAGCTTAAATAAACTTCAAATGTCACACAGACAAGGGTGGTTTTTAATGATTTAATCAGAGAAGTTTTAACACGTGTTATATATGTCTCTGTTAATATTACAGTAATTCCTCCATACTTATAAGGGGCTATAGGTTTACACGCACATCCAATAAATAATGTTCTTCGTATCAGAAACAACTGTTGGATTGATATTGTTGAATGTTCTTGTTACGATCCTACAAAATAGACGTAAACGCTGCGCGGTAGTCTCCCTTTGGTACACTGGCGAGCCGATGTAATGCATTCCTGTGCTCATACTTTCCTTCAAAGATCATAAAGTCACGGCGATCTAGCTAGACTTGTAATTGCACTCCTCTGTGACACCCTACACTATTGTATTGAAATATGCATTTTGTATCGTAGTGGAGCAGAATTCCAATCCGAATTAATTTTAATTATATTGAAATTCATAACGACTTAGTTTTTTCCTACTTTCGAAGCTCTTATTTCGAAACCTTCTGTACATGATTACTTTTGCAGGATGAAGCATTGATGAATAAACTGTAAGACTTCAGTTCTTTATGTGGATGCTGTTAAGCACTATGTTTTTTTCATTCTTAACATGATGCTTGAATTTATTGTCCACGTGAATTTGAAAAAAAAGGCATACAAAACTGGCGTTCTTTACATTTGTTTGGCAAACTTGATCACTGGTCTTCATTGATTTTTCGACAACCATTTCTTATATTAGTTAGGTGTCTTTGGAATTCAAACAACACCTTATGTTACGTTCCCTTTAAGTAAGAAAGTTTTCTTGATTTCCAACTTAAATACTTTTAAGAAGAGTTTGTCACAAAGCTTTTTAAATTTCAATAAAAATTGCTCACAACGTATTGTGTTCTGCCAGGACAGTTATCTGACAGTATCACGACCATTCTTCTCAGCCTATGCTTTCACAATATCAATGTTTTAATGCTGAAACAACTAGTCTGTCTGACCGTGTTTTTTCTTTAACATAAATTCTATCACTATTCAAAAGTGCATTATACTTCTCATCGATACTTTCCCTGTCCAATTCTTAACGAGTTTTTTAAAAAAAAAATCGGTGTACCAAGGCGCCGTACTGTTTCATTGTCTGTTCGCAGCCATGAAGCGACCAAATTAATTGAATGGCCCTCGTGCAAACATTCGAAATAAATATGTTGACGTACACAATACAAGCTAAAATGCATTGAATGGTGTGTTAAACAAGAATTAAACAGTGGAGATGTGTAAGTAAAAGTGTACAAACAATACAACTATGTTGTTGACATATAACGTGAAAACCTCAGTGATTTGGTAGATATTTGGAGCACAAATCGTGAAAGACTGAGAAGGTTCCAATATTTTGAGTAACAAGTAAAGACGCCACAGCGATTGAATAATTCAAAGCCAGATTCTATCCTCCACCAGCGCGTTGCTTTTCGTACATTCTCACATATCTTGTATATCATTGGCGATCCATTGTTTAAAACTGCCACAGCAAGGAGCTAATGTATTAAGGAGTTCAAATTATTGATTAACAAATAAAGTTAAAAATGGGAAGACTTTACCTGTAAATAAACGTAAATACATTGTGACCGTTCCATGGAATACAGAACTAGAACTGATACGTCAACATAAACTCCCGCCACTACTGGTTGGCTTCGACATCTCGATACAAAAAGAACCTGTCGTCTACAATTATCAATTAGCAGGAAACATGCATTGTATATAAGTAAAATTATCATGTTAGACATCAATTAACCATAACCACAGTGGCATGGTTTAGCATGTCATCACGTGTTCTTCGGAGACAGATTTAAGCAGAATAGGATTTTTTTTGCTTTTCGATTTCTTAAACACAGAAATCGCAAAAATTGTAACATGCGCCAGATGAACAACTGATCCAGTAAGTGATGGTTACGATTGACGCACATCACGGCTCTCAGCCGCTCAGCCACAGAAACTAGCTGTTGGAGGTGCAGATAAATACCAATATCCAGTATCCATATCATTGGATAAGTCAAACAACAACAGATACAAAATATTAAATCAATACCCACATATTTACATAATCTTAATTCAAACACAAATTCAATAAAACTATAGCAAAATAAGGACAAGAGAAAGATTTACACGGAGACACATGAAAAGGACATGGAGAATAAGGCCATGTAAAATCTTGGTCAATCCAAGTGAGTAATGCCACGTTCCTTAATGAAAGCGATTACGGAAACCCACCTGGCAACTTTAAACGAACATGTCTATGTTCATACCTTACAAAGAAATGACATATCACACATCAAACTACATCTCTCGAAATTCTGTGATTTGTGAGCTTGTCTATCAGATATCAACATTTCCCCACCAAAAATGTCATAGAATTTCGAATCAACTGCGACATTTAAACATTAGAGGTCGTGAAGCTATCCAGACATGAAAAATTAATAATTGGGAAATTGAAATCATCATGCTTATCATACGGCTTAGTTGAAAGCTGTCCATGTCAGTTGTAGAAAAGGCTGATGTAGAAGAGTCTGTCGTATCCCGATTCCTCATTCTCGTGAGTTGGCCATGATAAATGAAATTTAAAGAAAAATCGTTATCAATATATATATATATGTTACATATATCTGGAAGAGAAATTGAAGGACTTGGCAAGGTCTTTGTGGCCTGTTTTGTAGCGCTTTTCGATAAATTCAGTCTGGTATGAAAACAAAAACAAGTCGGACAATCAGCAGAATATGTGCACAATTTGTGCCCATAGGTATGCTGACCATTTGTCCTTTGTATATTTCTTCTTCCATATGGATGTATTCTCACGAAGTATGTTGCAGTATAGTTCACAATGCATATTTGCACCACCGTTTACCTCTCTTGGAAAAGAAAGCTCTCATAATAAGTGAACGAAGGCGTTCCTTCAGTTCAGAATGGGTAATGGCAATGTAAGGAGTGGGCAAAAATGATCTTACAGAGGAAATGTTTTTTTAGAAGAAGGTGTTGGCGATTGGTCAAGAGTTCTTTGATATTGACATACATTCCATTTCTTGAGTGAAGAGTAGCACAGTAAGACTGTTACCGTGATTTGCTAGTACTGAGCTTTGACAAAGATTTGATTCAATAACTTTACAAGTCACCAATGAAACGCTGATTGCATGAATTTTTGTGAAATTTAAGAATTCAATACATGTATAAACGAGGGAGGTCTGTATCCTTATCGTTGATAAGCCATTTCAATGATTGTAATACTGAAGCATGATTACGTAGAATTTCTTTTTTTTAGAAAAACTGGATAATGTGTAAGCATTGTGCTTTCGTAAACAAGCAGACCTACTTCTTTTTGTATCCAGGAAATATATCTGCAGACAAGGATTAAGTCATTGGATAGTTTACCTACGAGAACAACAACATACCCGTCATGTTATTTATGAGGTACAGATTTAACATCGGGATCAAGGATTACAAACTTACACCTTTTTAAATTTCAAGCTGCTGAATGGTAGATCGAATGGATTTTACCCACTCTGAAAGTGAATTCAAATCAAGTTCTCGTATCACCAACTCTCTGTCATAGTTTTCAATGAAATTCAATAGCATCTTGATATTCACATTTCAATAAATGGACGATGTCTCAACATATTTTGGGCCCTTAAGAAAAAGTTCTCGTTGCGTAACGTTTTGCATAATGCGTATATTACCATTTACTGTGTGCCCAGTTTGACCTTAGTCATGATAAAAGTTAGGACAAGAACACTTTAAAGGATGAGTAGTTCTTACAACGTTCAGTAATTGCAGCGTTTGTTTGTATTTTTGTATTTGAAAAGTTTGGGCTTGGAGTAACTATAGAAATGACGGATATTTCTGTATTGGAATATGGTAATAGCATCCTTTGTTTGCCTGATGTTTTACCAAGGCCCTACTTACATAAACCTGTTGTGGGATGTAGTCGTATCATTGTGACGTTCGATCGACTCCGGCACTATAGGCTGATTGATAAGTTTGGTCTTGTATTGAAGACGTTAGGCAGGGATGTTCTTTTTCAGCTCTACCATTCCTTGACTATCTAAGTTTGAGTACCTGAAGACTGGTGTCATGTGACAAGCACATATCGATGATGTAGCACTCTAAAATAGATAAAGCAAGTGAATTTTGCAGAATGGACAAAATCGCTGAAAAAGGAGTGATTCAATATTTGCATAAGAAATGTCTTGCAAATAAGGACATTCAAATTGATATGGTAGCAACACTAGGAATGATGCTCCTTCATATGCTACAGTGAAAAAGTGAGTGGCGGAATATAAGCGTGGCAGACAAAGCCTTGGGGATGACGCCCGTCCTGTATGGCCTGTCACTGTTGCAACCCCAGAAATGGACAATAAAGTCCATGATGTTGTTATCATGCTATCACGACAGGCGAAAATATATATCCATTGCAGTTGGGATATCACAGGAAGACCATGCAATGAGGAAGATCTCCGCCTGTTTGGTACCAAGACTCCTGACAGTTGCTCAGAAGCACACCAAGCGGACTAATCTGAATCATTTAGAGGCAGATCCTGCAAACTTTCTGCAGAGGTTGGTAACTATGGATGAAACGTGAGTCCATCATTTAA